ACACTCATTGTCCTGAGAGAAAATATGTGAGTTATAGGAAGCGCTGGATGCACCAAGGGAATGACACTTGCACTATGTGTGTCTCACTGGGGACTTGTGTTTGCATGATGGGATTTGAGCGTCCTACCTTTCGGAAGGAAATGATTGGTCTGCACCGGCCAGTGCGGGTTGCGAAACGTCGTTCTCTTTTGTAGGCTGCCGTGTGCTCGTGTGTGGAGGTCAGGCCACCGAGCTGTCGGACGGAAGTTTGTCACGTCGGTTGATTATTAGCATTCTCGTTCGAGCGGTGACGGGCTTCGGCTCGATGATCTGCTGGACGGGGTGTGAAATCTCCTCAGGCGGGGCTTAGTCTGTTGGCTGGCGGAGGGAGTACGACTGCATGCGGACAAAGACGGAGCCTCGGAGGCGATTAGTAACCTCTCGTAGCATGGTTTTGGGAAAGGCTGATTCTTGTCGGACCGATGGAAGTGAATGCCCGGACGACTGACTTTGTCCCTATATTTAGGCACTCGAGGTAACCCTCGGTGTCGGTATGGATATGCAAAGCGGGAAGACGGAATGGGGTATTCTGGGTAAGGAGGAAAGGGCGAATGCCTTGCCGAGACCTGGAAACCGCGCTCGTGACGGTTGAGCTGCGCTTGAGGTATGGGATAAAACTCTACCGATAGTACCAGCGGAGAGACCATATTGGGGATGGCCGGTGAGGAGATGACCGACCTGTATGTGAGGTTGCCTGATTTTTTTATGTGTTCCCCCTCTATAAAAATTGATTGAGTTCGGACTGTTGGACGAGACATATTTCTAAGTCTATCCCCCCCCATCTAAGTCCACACGAGTGAGAGATGATCGGAAGGAAGAAGCATAGAGGTCAGTAGGAATGGAACGAAGAGAAATAATGTGGGCAAATGGATGGCCGGCCGAGGGAATCATGGAAAAAAGGTACTTAGGAATGGGGAGGTAAAATAGGAAGACCTTGATGAGGGGTCTGAAATAATTCTCATCTAGGGCAAGGGTTGACCTGACCAAAAAGACCGGTTGATGCTCTTTTTATGAAAACATGGGTCGGGTGCTGAAAACAAGATGGCGCGATGGTTGCCTTCCCCGATCTATACTAGCGGCCCGGAAATGCCAGTAGATGTAAAGGAAGGAGTACCGGTCGTCTCACGGAAAATGGAACGTGGACGGACCTTGAACTGGCATATCAAATGATAATATTGGAAGGAGAGGATGTTTTTCTTTGGATAGAAACAGTATGGACTAATGTCAGCTTGACGAGGTTGTTGCCAATTTTAATGGATTTGGAATTCCGAGGGACCGTAGAAGCCCGAGGGTGGGTCTACTTGTCGCAGGATGGGGAGAAAGCTATGATCATAGAGTTGGCACTCGGGAATACACCGGACGAGTTGTTTAGGAAGGCAGAAGCAGAGGTTGTGTGGGCTGCATGTCAACGGAGGGAAATGAAAATGGAAAAGGTAGACGTACGGGTGAAACTTGGGGATAGAGGAAGCATGAGGCGACCCGTAAGAACCATGCGATGTGTGCTGCCCCCCTTCCTAGTGGATGCGGTTTTCGGAACTCGGAGCAGGCTAGTACGGATATGCCAGTCCATGACGAACCTTGGGCTATACCAATGCGCTAGGCAATATTTTTTTCGGTTATCAGTAGAGACGGGGCCGTTCGAGGGGAACTTGGCGGAGGAGGTGGCCGAGATACTAAACTGCCTTAGCATAGACAATATCTTTGTCCCTAGCGCTGTGCATTGGGGGATAGTCTACAGGAATGTGGCAATAGGGGAGACGTTTCTAGATGGGGTAAGGGAGTTGGTATACAACGAGGAGGACGACTTCAGTGATGAAGACGAAGATGAAGAGATAGAGGACTGGGACTTCTAAAGAGGGGTGGGGAAACTTAACTTAGGAAGGATGGGTGACCTGGTATTGTGCAGGAAAGGGAAAGATGACTAGAGAAGAAAGGATTATGGAATACACCTTCAAAGGTTGGGAACCACGACGACTCAGAGGAGGAATATAAATGCCTATACCAACAGGGAACGGATGGAGAGGGACCACGTGCGATTAGATTGGGTTTGAGGTTGCCCGGGACTTGTCATATGCATGGATAGAGCGCATTTGGAACCCGATAAGGGAAGAGGAAGGTAAGGATGATATAGCAGAAGGCAAGGTAGAGTGAGTTGGAACGATTGTCCTTTCCGAGGATGGATGACACCTGTTTTGCACCATGTTAGCAATGGGACAGAACCCGATGTGGCTTCTAGGGGATGCAAGGGTCCGAACCCGAAAGGAAGGCAAGTTGTTCGCCAACGAGGGATGGGATAAAGTTAGTAGCAGAGTTGTGATGGGAGGATGAACGAAACTTAAGCCTCCAAGTCTACGGATAACCGCTTCGGTACCGGAATTCATAGCCAAGTGGGTTGGGGATTTTTTAGCACATTTTAGAAGTAGCCGACTCCATGAGAAAGGTGCATATAGAGTGTGCATGACTGACTGAGGAGTTCTATAGACTCTCATTGAAATATGGACCTTTCTATAGAGATAAAGCCGAGGAAGTCATCATCGTCCTAAGAATAGGCAGGTATGACCGACTAGAGGTAGAGGCGGAGTCTTGGGACGCCATAGTTAGCCGAGAGGGGCGGCCGCGCCCTCCTACGTAGACGATGTCCTTAAACTATTTGAGGTATTGTGGCTCGACTGAATGAGGCCAAGGGATCGAACACCGCGAAGAGGCCTGAGTATGGAGAATGTTTGTGAATTGAGGTATAACATAAGAAAGGGAGTATGTACATTAGGCCGTAGATGGTGCATAAGGATCGAAACAAGGGGGAAGTGACAGCAACTGGAAAATGGGGGGGGGGGGGAAATTGAACGTGTATGAGTTGGAGATAGCGGCAAAAATCAGTGTACGATAAGCAGGGAGGGTTGGAAGACTAAAACACGAAAGGCATGGAATCTCGGTGGGTGCAGCAATCGGACTAAGAAAGCTGGAAATGAGACATTGCGAGATGGCCCGGCGAATGACGTTCTGGGAGGATAGACCTCGTGGGATCCTGCCACCAAGAATATCAGAAGGCAGGGTCGAAATGAGCCTGCCGGCAAGAAATGCGGTAAGCAATCCGGTAATGGACTAGGTGGGGGTAAAGTTGGTGGAAGATACGATGTACCTAGTAGTGGAGCTGGAATGGCGTGCGAGAGGGGAGTTCGGGGGCATAGACTTGAACCTTCCAGGGCGTGTACATGCGACGGGATCCTTACACCTGCCGGAAGAGGGATGGCGGACCTTTGGGATTGCTTTGGCTTCCGGGGATGACCCCGTGCGAATGTTCGAAGGGGCATGGCAAATAACCTGGCGGGGGGGGTTTGAGTTTGCAGACCCGGAACGAGATGACGTAACGGCGGAGGTAAAAGTCGYCGCGGYGGGGGKTTTCGAGCTGCCAAATGAGGTCATACGGATGAGTCTACCTCCCTTCCTGCTAAGACGAATGGGAGACATAGAACGAGTGGAGCAGGCGGTGACTGCCGTAACTAGGCTAAATTTTGACGAAGCATTAATGTATCAAGATTACTATCGGACCTTCCTAGAGATGGGACCTTTCGGGGACGAACAAAGGCGCGAGGTGCTTTGCATTCTACGAGCAGCGGTAAATGCTAGGCCAGGAGTCTCACGAATTAGTGATGAGACCATGTGGAGAGTCATCCGGCGAGAGGTAGGTCGGGGCGTGACCTACATAGATGATCTCTACCGGCTGTAGGAACAGCCAGAGGAGGCTACTGCTCCCAGAGGGATAGTTGGGACTAGAAAAGAGAAATGAAAACACGAAGCATAAGGGATGCAGTAGGTGGAGGAATTCTGAAGATTGGTTGTAACCCTTTCTATGTGGACTATGCAAGGAATCACCAAGGTAACAATGGCATTAAGACGTGAGCGAGTGGAACGCCAGCCCCGTGTGCGAATGGAACGCCAGCCCCGGTACCTCGGACCGCCCTGGAACAACGGTGGACGATGGGAAGTATCCCTCCCGTCGAGTTCTACCTATCGGGGGTTCGATATAGAATGTCGGGTCGTGACTTTGGGAAGGGACGCCCGCCTTCATGTTGGTAGAATGTCGGTGGACAGGGATGAGATTCAACCGAGGACCCGGAGACGATATGTTTTCCAATCTGGAAGTTACCGGGACCATGTATTTGCCTGAGATCGGCTGACACTCGTTGGGGGTAAAGATAGCACAAGGTCACGAGTTGACACCGGTCTTTCGAAGGGCCGCCCGGACGTTGACCCGGATAGGACAATCGGTCAGGGGAAGAAGGAACGTGGGCTTACTTACCCGGGTGGAAATGGGAGGTTGGAGGGAGTTCAGGGCGCCGACCACACCGCTGAGATGCCGAGTGCCCCGTTTTATGATAGACCTCGTCTTCGAAAGCCTCGCAAGGGCGCGGGAGCTGGCAGACTCAGCGATAGTCTGGGCAGGCCACTTTCCCTCCCCTACCATTGGGATGTTCTATGATGTCGCTGTGGAGCACGGGCCATTATGGGGAAACAAGGCCCACGAATTACTAGAAGTCATCCACATCCTGATGTTTTGTGCGCCCCGGCTAGACTGGACGGGGTGCGAACGCATAATCCAAAAGGAAATCGAGATAGGGGAGAATTATTCAACGGGGGTGGCTCAACTATTTGAGGAGCCTACCGAACCGGAAGGGCCACGAAGGCGAGAACGGGACTAGCACCCGCAGGCGAGCGAGTAGGGCAAATCAAGCATAGTCTGCTACGTTCGAAGGCCACCAACAGAAATAGGAAAGGGGGGGGGCTCGGACCCGGATGATCAATAACCACCAGACGGGGAACACCGCGCAGCAAAAATTTTTCCCAGCGGGTTGCCCAACCCGGACCCCTACGCATCGAGCAATAGAATAAGGACACTCTAAACAAGCCTGTGATAAGGGAAGCTAAGTCACGCCCTTAGCTCGGTGAGGCATCAGAGCCGGACGCGGCTCCATATTAAGGGAGCCATTAGAAAATGGGAATGAGAAAAAGCCTAATTACCAAGTAAAAGGATAAACCAACTGGATTGGAACCTAAGGAACCTAAATGCCTCGCACTGCGTTTGTTCTGGGGAATCCTTTGGTTATGCAGAAGTAGGCAAGTATGGCAACGGAGGATGAGACGGGTAATCATGAAGACGAGGGAGGACCAGGCTTAGGAGGCAGTGCTGAGCAAAGCACGGAATCAGCAAATCCGGATGGCACGAAAGGGAACCGGAAGGAAATGTCCTCCGGAGAGAGCTTGGAAAAAGCCGGGGGAAGCAGACGGGGGACCCAGAAAAACAAGGAAGGCAGGAATAAGGATAGGGGGAGCCCCGGGAACTCGGAGGGAGCTGTGTCTAAGAAAGTAAGGGTCACGAACGCGAGGCACAAACTAGCAGAATTAGATAAAAGGACCGCGGAATACAAGGCAAGGTTAATTGAGGCAATGATGATTGAGAACGAGGATGACTCTCTGCAGGAGGTACCTCGAGACGAACGAAAAACCAGTCGGGCCGGAACTGGGCAAGGGGACAAGGGTAGTGACCATGGGGGAACGCCGAGCAAAAGAAGGAAAGAGAGAGAGAACTCGCCGGGAATGGAGGCAGAGAAGGTGACGAACCCCTTAGCCACAGACAGTAGGGCTAGCCGTCTGCCGACCTCGCCAGCAGCATCGCGAGGATGCGAAGGGCTCTGGAGCCTCAGAGAAAGGGTGTTGGGTTGGTTCGACCCGGAAGGAACGGCAAAGACTAATGGGGGGCAGAAAGCCAGCAAGGAAGGGCCAGATACCAGCATGGCAGGCGAGGCCAGCAGCTCCGAAGGCGGCCTTAGGAAGATAGTATCATCCCTCACACGAGCACTGAACAAGAACCAAGGCTATCTGGTAGACGCCAAGAAAAAACTGACTTTCGATGGAGCAAACATCACGGAGTTCCTGATCAACTACGAGAATCTAGCTGCGTTACTAAAGTGGACCGAGGAAGAAAAAATGGACCATCTAGGACAGCATGTGTCGTTAAGCCTAGGACGGGACATTAATGGCCATTGTAGTCGCAAGCCGGTCTTGGAAGGAGACCCGGGATGTGATGATGAGGAAGTACCTAGTGGCAGAGAAAATGGCAACGGAGGCCGACCTAGCGGCAGTTAAGAGGAAGAACTTCGCAACGTACAATGATTTCCTACGGGAATTTACTCTAGTAGCACTAAGGATCTTGGGGTCACGGACCGGATAATGAGCAAATATTTCCTCACACAGTTCTCCGAGTTCGACAAAGACAAGATCCTGTCAGCTTACCAACAGACGAGCAAGTTCGTAAACACGCGGGATGTTGATTTTAGCACGGTAACGGATCTGGCTGAGAAAACGGTAGTAACAGAAATATTGGCCTTGCTCAAGGAAGGAAAGATCATAGATCTGACCGGTAGGGCGGGCGACAAGGTAAAGAAGGGGATTGAAAGTCTACATGAACGGGTGCACGGGGTCGACAATAAAATTGAAAGGATGGAAGGCGCGCTACTGGTTATGCAGGCGCAAGTATCCCGACCCGCCCTCCCTCCCCAGGAAGCTGTGGTTCTGCCAGGTGTAGCCAACCGGGGATTCGGACAGAGAGATCCTACTAACGCGAAATGCAAGTACTGTACCACGATAGGACATTATGTGCGCGCGTGCCCAAAGCTCAACCATGATATTCTGAAAAGAAGGTGTACCAGGTCATTAAAGGGGGAGATATTTGGACCACAAGGGGAACGGGTGAACTGGAACTCGCCAGGAGGGATGCGGCGAGCCATTATCATGCGCAATGGGTTAGAAATAACAGTCGTAGAAGCCGAATCGGTGGGCGAGACCATCTGGGATCAACTCCGGGGGCGCGGGCCGCAGACCAACTTTATTTTGAAAAACGACGGATGTGATAGGGTGAACGCAACCACTCGACTGGGAACGGCCGGGAGAAGGATTAACCGTGACACCATGATGGAGGAGCTCGCCGGAAGCTCCGAACCCCAGGCAGAGCCTGAGGCCGGGGAGCCAGAGAAAGTCTATGGGAAGCCTAAGGAAGAGGAGCCTGCAGACAAGGTTACCGCCGCTAAGAAGAAGTTTAGGTATCAAATCTCGATCTTAACCTTGCCTGAGCTCGACGATACCATTAGCAAGTTACTAGGAACCATGGTGTCGGTGTCTTTTCAGACCATGCTGCAGGCTAGCCCTAGGTTGCTAAAAGGGCTCAGACAACTGTTGACTCAGAGGCGAGTAAAAATAGGCGACAACCCCGAATTACCAGAAGGGGAGAGGGAGGAGGAAGCTCCGCAATAAGTGGCTAATCTTCAGAGGAGTCACGGGTACTTGGAAGATCTTGAAAAAGCCTTTGCAGACATTCGTTTGAACTTGCCCGACCGGCGGGGCGGCGAAGTCATGAGATCACCACTCGGGACAAAGCTTAGCTTTCATGCACTGCCCGTAGGGAAAGTGAAAATCGAGATCGGGAGTTATTATACCGACGCATTAGTAAACGGGGGAGCAGAAACCACTCTCATAAGGAGAGATTTCGCAACGATCATGGGATGTACGATAAACAAGGAAGTAACAGAGAGCATCCGGGGAGCTGGCGGGGAAATCCCGTTCGCTGGGTACGTCACGAAATGTGCTGTGAAGGCAGGGGGTCAGGGAATCGATCTGGTCGTTTCAGCGGATGACCGTAATGGAGGAAATGGACCACGACATAATCCTCGGGAGACCGTGGTGTGCGAACGTAGAGATGATAGGCATGCACTTGCACGATGGCTCGTACATGGTAGACATAGAGGACCCTGTGACCGGCCGGGGAGAGCTCCTCCGACTCCTTGGAACGGGAGGAGACCCCCCGAAGGGAAAATTGGCAACATGGTCGCCGTCGTTTGAGGATAGCACGGGAAAAGGGGCTTTCGCACGGATGGAGGGTGTGAGAGAAAGGGTAGAAATCATGATTGAGGAGTGGATCAAGTTGAGCCTGCCCCAAAAGAAGAGGAGGCAGGAGGACGAAGTCCTAGGTGTTATGGTAGCGGAAAAGGAGTCAGAGGTCGAACCTGGTGCTAGCCTACCCAAACGGAAAGAAGTACGCATAGATGTGTCAGAAATCGCACTCGAGATCCCCGATCTATTGCAACTCATCAAGGCCCTCAGATACCACAAGGTAGGAGTGGATTCGACAGCCTTGGCCAAGTCCGAAAGAGAGGTGCAAAAAGGATATTGCCTGAATGGGAAACTAGTTAGTATTCAACCATGAGTCGTAGAGGCGACGGGGGCAATTTCGACGGTTCATTTTTTAGGAGAAAGATCCTGGAAGCGGCGGAAGGAAGTGTTCGAAAGTACAAGCTGGTAGGGAAGAAAGCAAAACTGGTCTCGATCCTGCTAGAGACATCAAAGGAAGAGGCTATGGAGAAGGAGGAAGAGGTCCTTCGAGTGATCCGAGAAAGAAGGGCGACGCAGGGACATCGGATACCAGATTAGGTAACTGCCACAATGAAGAGAAATATAGAAGGGTTCTTTACGGAAGAAGAAACCCGCCTGATCAAAAGGACCTGCAAGGAGTTTCACCTAGCATTTGCCTTTAGTGATCACGAGAAAGGAAGACTGGATGCGAAGCTAATCCCTCCGGTCAGAATCCACACGGTAGAATATGAGTGCTGGAACGACAAGGGGTTGTCCTATGAATTCGGGATAGCAGGGGAAGTTACAGACCTCCTCCGAGCAAAAATGGACTCCTTCGTTGCGGTGCCTACGGCGTCGCTATACGCAAACCGGTGGTTCGTCTTTCGAAAGCCTAACAAGACACTAAGATGGATTCAGGATCTGCAAAAGTTGAATGCGGTAACCATCCGGGATGCTGGCTCGCTATCTCAGGCTGACTTATTAGCAGAATCGCACGCTGGTCGGAGCATTTACTCCCTGATAGATCTGTACTCAGGGTATGACCAGCTTCCGTTGGATGTTCGGGACAGGCCATACACCGCTATGCACACCCCCGTAGGCCAACTACAGATGCAAGTGACCCCTATGGGATTCACAAACGCTGTGGCCGAAGCGCAACGTACGATGCACGCCGTGGCCGGGGACATGTTCCCAGAAAAATGTGAGCCTTACATCGATGACAATCCGATCAAAGGCGCGCAGGAGAAGGACGAGACGAAAGTCCAGCCAGGGATCCGATGTTTTGTGTGGGACCACGTGCAGGACATCAAGGACTTAGTCCGCCGGTTCCTAGTATACAACATTATGGCTAGTGGACCAAAGAGTATCCTAGCAGTACCGAAGGTAACTATAATAGGATTTCGTTGCGGGGCTTACAGCGGGAGGCCGGATCTGGCAAAGACCGACAAGATATCACAGTAGCCGACGCCACTGCGCACGACGATGGAGGTAAGGGCATTCCTAGGCGTAGTCGGCTTTTGGAGGATCTTCATAAAGAACTTTGCCAAGAAACATCCATTTCGTAAAAACGGACATATTATATTTTTTGAACGAAATCAAAACTGACTCTTTTTGCCAAAATCCGGTCGGAATTTTTTGCTCATGGGGTTCTGGCGTTCCCAAAACGCCGGACCCCCCTGGTCTATGGTTGAGACCAGA